ACTCTGATTTCTCTCCACCGATGCTGCCAGACCAGCCGAACTTTTCCAGCAATTTCTGTTTTTTTTAAAGGAGATGGTCCAGGTAGTGGGTGTCATGAATCATGAGTCATGAAGTATGGAAACAGACCCTTTGGTCCAACCAGTCCATGTTGACCATAATCCCAAACTAAACTAGTTCCATCTGACAACACCATGACTCCAGATACTCTCTCTGACACAAGATGCGATTTGATTCTCTCACTATGCCAGCAAGGTATGTTCAATGGCTGTCCACCTAAGGCCCTGCTAAGCTGTACACTTGTGTGGCTGTCTATAAAGTAACTCTGAAACTGTTTATTAATGTTGCTCACACTGCATAGCTTGTCATTTCTTCTATCTTCTTCCTCCATGCCATTTCCCTTCACTCACCAATTCTCTCCTGAACCATTCTGCCCCTGCCTCTTGTGACTCACTGACCTTTCTACTTACTGCAAACTGTAGTGAGTGGGAGGATTCATGGAGGCAGTGGAGAGGAGAAGAGACAGGGAGGTGAGAGAGGCAGCAATTGGAGTGAAACAGCAAATGGGAGAGAAGTACCAAGATAGGAGATGTGCATGACAGTTGGCCAGGGGAAGAGGTGGCAAGGCAGGAGAGAAACACCATGTAGGTGTGGCAGGGTTCAGGTGGAAACAGGGAATTGAAGTGGAACGAGGAGAGATGGTGAGTTGAGCTAAGGTGCACGTTGAGAGTGGCATGAACTGAGAGATTCGGGAGACGATTGAGATTAGAGAGACAGTAAGTCAGGAAGTAAGAACAATTCAGGAATGGGGAGAGATGGTGAGTCAGGAGTGGTATGTAGCCAGGAGAGGCATGGGTCAGGACAGTGCAAGCTAGGAGGGCTGTCAGTCTGGGGAGGCCTGAGTCAGAAGAGGTGACGAATTAGAAGAGGGAAGAGGCACAAATCGTGAGTACAGTGAAAGGTGAGTGGTGGTGTGTCAGGATTGGCACGAGCCAGGAAAGCAGCATGTCAGGCACAGTGCATGCCTGGATTGGCACAAGTTAAGTATGGTGCAGTTGCAGCCAAGAACTGATGAGCTGGAGTTATGTTAATAAAAATGAAACACCTCATTTTCTGTTTGGGAACTCTACGGCCTGATGGACTCAATATCAAATTCAACAACTTTAGGGCTTGAGCTTGTCTCATGTACTTACCCCAATCCCGACACACCAGGCCTTGCTATTACATAGTCTGCTATTACACACAACCCATTATTAACCACCAACAGTCCCCATTAATAGCTATTCACCCCCTAATCTGATCATTATCCATTCCTTTGTCTGTCCAACTATTCTTCTCTCTCTTCTGGCTCTATCCCCACCTTTTGTTCACCCCTTACCCCCTCTCCCCACACTTAAAAACCAACATTTTTCTAGGTACCATCAGTTCTGAGGAAGGGTTACTGGACCCAAAACATTAACTCTGATTTCTCTCAACAGATGCTGCCAGATCTGCTGAGCTTTTCCGGCAATTTTTGTTTTTGTTGTTGTTGGAGTTAAGTTTTCAAGGTTTGCTAAGTTATTACGACTTGGTAATTTCATCCATAAAACTCTAAATTTGTTTTGTTTCATGCATTGAAACTAAGAAGCTGTCTTACTTATTATGTCAAGAAAATTGAGAATTTTGTTTTGTGCCTCAAAAGAACAGCCACATACAAGACTTGAAAAAGCTCCTAAAAAATTAAAGTATTAATTTTCCTGTTTAATTTCATAATTAATGTCTTCTGCATGCAGCTTGTTGTTTATCCCTTGCTTTAATACTCTTCCTTCTTAAACCTATATTGGCATTAAAAAAATAATGTTAAAAGTATATATTTCATTTCTCTTTTGTTTGTACTAGTGGTGCACATTTTACATATTACATTGAATTTGGCCGGCAGAATAAAATTCATTCTGCACGTGGATGGAAAATAAAAAACGAGAGGGACACTGCTGCCCACTGTCATCAATATGAATTTTCTAAGTTTTGGATGGTACTGCTGTTTTTGTCAAAGTACATTTACCAACCTAAAGGCAATTTAGGTACTAAATGAACTGCAGTAGCAGCTGCATGCAGAGAAAACTTGAATTAAGTGGAAACTATATCCAGAAGTGCATGCATGTTTGTTGAAGCTTCGCTTATTTCTGTGAGAATTCTATCTGTAAAATTATGAGAATGGTTATCAAATTCTATAGCTTGTGACAGTTCCTAACAAGATTCTTTTGTGTGGAAAGGGGCCGCACAGAATTATCAAGAAGGATGTGGGACTGTCTGAGGGAAACATTGGAATTCCAGCAAGTCACTCAGGAACAAAAACAAAGTTGCTGGAAAATCTCAGCAGGTCTGGCAGCATCCGTGAAGGAAAAAACAGAGTTAACGTTTCGGGTCTGGTGACCCTTCCTCAGAACTGAGCAAGTCACTCAGCAATTGGGTTTGTGTTGGACTGGTGTGAATGATCAAGTCTCTTACATGTACTGATCCTGCTGAGAACCTCCTCCCCAACAACACCCCCCACATTCCACCCCAGCCCTCCCACCCCCACCCATCAAATTATCTGTCGTCTGACTCCTGGTGCTTCTTGATTGGAATTGGATGCAACCTCAGCAATGGCCACCACACCCGATGGCACTGTGGGCACCAGAAACCAGAGAGCTTTCAGCCAACCCTGTGAGCATTAACTGGCAGGGGAAAACCACCCTGAGAGTGGAGTAGGGTTCACACTGACTTTTACAACAGGGACACAGTAAGACCACCTCCCCCACTTCCATCTAAGAAATTTTGCCCAATGAGCTGAATTTTCCTGGCCCCCTTGGCGTTATGATTCTTTTAACTCAAATCAAATTTGGCATACTTGGTCGGAGCATGGAGTATATGAATTGTGACGTTATGTTGCAGCATTGGTGAGGTCACTAATTGAGAACTGCATACAGTTCTGGTCTCCCTTCTTTAGGGAGGATGTTGTTAAATTGGAAATGATACAGAAAAGATTTATAAGGATGTTACCAGGACAGAGGGTTTGAGTTATAAGTAGAGGCTGGATAGGCTGAGATGTTTTTCCCTGTAGCGTAGGAGGTTGAGGGGTGACCTTACTGAGGTTTATAAAATCGTGAGGTGCATAGATAAGGTGAATTGAAAAGGCCTTTTCCCTAGGAGTTCAAAACTAGAGGGCATAGGTTCAAGGTGAGGCAGATCAGAAAAGGTTTACTCATCTGATTAGGGAGAGGTTGAATAATTTGGGCCTGTACTTAGGGTGACATCGTGGCTCAGTGGTTAGCATCGCTGCCTCACAGCACCAGGGGCCTGGGTTTGATTCCACCCTTGGGTGGCTGTCTGTGTGGAGTTTGCACATTCTCCCCGTGTCTGCGTGGGTTTCCTCCGGGTTCTCCAGTTTCCTCCCACAGTCCAAAGATGTGCAGGCTAGGTGGATTGGCCAGGTTAAATTGCCTGTAGTGTTCAGAGATGTGTAGATGAGGTGGGCTATAAGGGGATTGGTCTGGTAGGATGCTCTGAGGGTCAGTATGGACTTGTTAGGCTGAAGGGACTGTTTCCACACTGTAGGGATTCTAAGTTTAAGTGAGAGGGGAAAGATTTAAAAGGTGCCTGAGGGGCATTGTTTTCATGCAAAGGATGGTGCTTGTATGGTTTCAATGACGACAGCATCTGTGGGGAGAAAACAGAGTTAATTTTTCCAGTCTGGTGACTTTTCATCAATTATGTATGACCCCTTACTCTGAGATTATGCCCCCTGGACCTAGACTCTCCCACACAGGGAAACAAACTTTCTGTACCTATTCTGTCACATCGGCTAAGAATGTTATATACTTCAATAGGTTCACCTCTCATTCTTTTAAATTCCAATGAGTACAGGCCCAAATTATTCAAACTCTCCCTAATCAGATGAGTGAACCTTTTCTAATCAGCCTCCAATGCCAGTACATCTTACCTTAGATAAGGAGCCCAAAATAGCCCAAAATCCTGCCAAAATCCATAACTTCAGACCTTGCCACATTATATTCCATCTGCCAAATTTTTGTCCACTTGCTAACCTGTCTATGTTCCTCTGCAAACTCTTTGTGTCCTTTTCACCACGTTACTTTCCACCTATTTTTGTGTCATCCACAAAATTAGCGATAGTACCCTCACTTATATTGTAAATAATTGTGGCCCCAGCACTAAGCCCTGTGGAATTCCACTAGTTACAGGTTGCCAAACTGTAAAGCCACTCCCCACCCATCAACACTCTGTCTTCCATTCGTTAGCCAATCTTTTATTCTGCCACTATGTTGCCTGCTTTGAACACCATGGGTGCCTCCTTTATTGAGTAGCCTAATGCCTTGTGCCTAATCAAATCCCATTTGAAATTCCAAGTACATTATATCCACCGCTTTCCTTTTATCTATTCTGCTTGTTACCTCCTCAAAGAATTCTAATAACTTTGTCAGGCATGATTTCCCCTTTGTGAAGCCATGCTGACTCTGCTTGATTATATAACGTACTTCTAAATGCTCTGAAATACATTACATGTATTTCTTTCTCTCTGAGTTACTCTCTAATTCTAGCTATTTTTTGCCCAGGGTAAAGACCCAAGTAGGCCAACTGTATTCTTGCTCCCACAACACTTCATTAATCCAAAGGTTCTGGAATTTTTAATCTGTGTGGCCTGGGATTTCTTTGAAATAGTTAGGAGGTCACAGGATCCTATAAGTGAACACTCTGCCTTTTCCTTTGAGTACTTTTTAAGTTCTATTCAGATTGACTGAATGTTGGTAGTCATGCTTCACAGGACAAGCCTGCGTAATTATTCTGACAATTGTATATGATGCTTGTGTAGTTCATGACCTGTTAGATATTGTGCAGTCTTGATCTTAATATATTCCTTAGCTGTTCAGTAGATAATGAATCAGTATTTCTGTACAGTAAAGGAATGATATCAGGATCAATTTTTTTTTGCCTTTCATAGAATGTTAATTTCCTCTCTCTGCAGAACCAGCCCAGCTCATCTCTTTTGGGTGAAAGAAGTGATCACAGATTAGTGTAACAGAATTTGGATGCATAGCAGTTCACATTCACAAATATGAGAAAGCAGATGGCTTTGTGAAAAATGATGCCTCTGTGAGGATTCTGAGGCATTTCCTTCATTAATCTACGTGCCAAGGTATTTTCCAATGCTGGTTATATTAAGAGAAACCTACTGTCCCACTTTCTGTGTATTTGCATAGAAATGAGATACATAATTTGCACATTTACATGCTGGTCATTAAAATCAATGTTGCCTTATCCTTTTTGTGCCGCTAGCATGTTTTTTACAGTCTCTGGGGTATACTCAAGTACAGTATGATTCTGAACAGCAGCCTCCTTAGATGCTAAGAACAGCAGCACTCATCAAGAAAGGGGAAATTCATGGAACCCTTTCATACTCGTCAACAGTAAATTCACATTGCAAAACATATTTCTTTTATAAATTTTTGCTGCAGTTTTCATGTTGTAGAATATATTGGCTGCACTCCAACCCTGGAAAGATATTTCAGTCCTAATTAGAAGAGGTCCCATATTTGAAATGCTGTATGTAGAATTCTTAAAGTGTCCTCCAAACAGACCAACAACATCGACAATAACACATCTGACAAAATGATTTAATAGTTCCTAATTTATTTGATATAATAATCAATCAACTACAATTGATAGTTTCGAACTTAAAGGGCAATGTTATTCTCAGTAAAATATTGTTTGCATTTTTTTACCTGAATGTTGCCTTCCAAGTGACAATACACTAAAATGGTGACTTATGTCTTTTCTTTAAACTCACCAAATATTCTGTTGAACAAACCTAGTGGGGTATACCATTTCTCATCAGTCTGTCGAATATTACAGAGTATTATTTTCAGCTGTTGTGTCACATCGGACTTGCTAGCCTGAGATATTGAGCAAGAATGTGAGGTGAGTGAGACTGGAGAGAATAATGAAGCTTTGAGTCAAGACACTGAAGGATGAACTATTAGAATGTAGCTTGAATACTTTAATTGAATTTTATAAAGCATTAAATACATTGTAACCTTTCCAGATTGGCTTGCTTTCAGAATAAATATTTGTTGATTTTCCAGCTTTGAACCGGACATTTTTCCCTGCATAAAATAGCTCCAATTTTTAATTCAATTATCTTAACAATGGCAAGTCCTTGGGGAAATGTAATTTTTGCTCTGAAATTTTTGAATAGTTTTAATACAGTAATATTACCAAGGAATCACACATGTATCAAATTGATAGTTCCGTCTCAAGTTTAATTTATTTTCAATTATTTGTTGTAAATGCATCAAGTGGAATTTTCAGGACTGCCTAGAGGTTTTACAAGGGGATATCATGCCTGAAAAGCAAAGTTTCTTTTTCCCAAAAGCAGGTTAAATGTTTGGCCTTAAAATCTCTGAACTTTTCAGGCAGGTGGCTTTTCATGGTCAGGAACTGATATTCCATTCATTAGCATATCATGAATATTCATTAACACCCAAGCACACCAACATCATGTTCTCAGGCACATATTGTTAGACAAAAACAGGAAATGTTTGTTCACAATCTGACTAGACAAGATGAGTACTTGGTGGACTAGCCTGTTTTTCTCCCCGCACCCCCCATCCCCCCAGCTCCAGTGAGTAAATCATTAATTCATTACTTGGATACTTCAGAAATAACCCATTTTATTGTGTAAACGTTCGTGGTAAAGGCAGCTCCATTTTCAGTAGCTCATGATAAAACAGGTTCATAGGCCATTTTTGCCTTTATGCAATATATTTATGACTGTGTTAGGGTTGAGGGCAGATCAAGCTCACTCGCCTGCATAATCTAGATGGACTGATTAAAACATACCTAGCCGAAATAGGCAAGTGTGGCATAACTTAAAAAGGGATCAGCTTAAATTAATTTAAATGGCATTAAAAGTGGCAACAACTGAATAAAAATGATGGGCTGGATACAATGGAAAGGGAGGGTAAACAACTTGAAGGTCATCACAGCAATGGAAGGATACTGGGGATTGGAGGCAGCAAACTGGGATCATGTGAAGACAGTCAAAGTTACAGGGGCAATGGGCATAATGAAGAGTGGGAGCTTACTTTATGCTAACTGGGTCCCTTTTAAATCTGGTGCCCAAGTGTTGTAGCCTGGAGGGGTGCAGACCTTCCTGTCCACCCACTACGAAAATTTGATGTTTCGCTCGCATATGAATATGTAACGAACTGAGGAACATGTAATTGCATGGGAAAACCTAACTCATTCTCAAGTGGAAGTCCATCCTACTTTCAGTCCAGCCTTTAAACTTTGCATCAGGAATTGAAATTTCAGCTTTCTACATGCTTGCTTGACCTAAAAATCAGCAACCATAACTGTCGAGCCAAAAACTGATCCGCAGAAGGGGCATGTCGAATTCTTTTTCTTGTGTCGCCACTGGCCCACTGGTGTGCTGGGGTCAGCAGGCATGCCTCAGCAGGCAGTGTGTTAAGTGTGAAAGTGAAGACCTACCAATGGGGACACTAGCAAGGACCGATAGTTACTCTGGCAAGGGAAGAGGAATGGGTTGCTTGACCAGCAGCAGCCCACTCCTAATCCTTATTGCTTCATATTCAAAACATGTTCGACTTACCATTTTTCTGGCAACCACTACTGGTCTGTTTAAAGGTTTCTAGCGAAACTGCCTTGTCAACAGAAAGAAGCCTGAAATAGATGTTCAGCCTCTGACTTCAGATGCTCGATTCAGGGAGTCCCCCTGGGCAATAACAGAATGTGTTGTCATGGCTACAGGTCAGAACCCCACAACACTGTGGGCATTTTTAAGTGCAAATCCAAAATATGTTTTTAAAAGAAGGCTAATACATCTATAAATGGCGATACATGTACATTAAGTGACTGGTGAGAGTAACCCAGGGAATTTCACATCTACAAATGCAAAGTGAACTTTCAAACAACAAACTTTCAAAGGTAAAAAAGAGGTAAATCATTACAGACTGGACTGTGATTTCTTGTTACCATAAAGATAATGAGATCTCTGCTCAATAGCATGCCACTTGCTATGGATTATGGGGTTCCAAACTGCAGATACATTTTGAATTTTTCCTTTGAAGGATATACAAGGATTAAACAGTCAGGTCCCACCCTACTGAAGTGTGCCAGTGGGATTGAACTTTCTCCTATGTACCAGCCTGGGTTCAAGCATTAGCACACTTTGAAGGGTACAGTCAAAGAGTTTGCCCCTAGTCACTACAGTGTTACAGTTAAAAACTTTCTCTCATTCTGAGTGCTAGAAAGCAACCAGACAAAAAGAAATAGAACAACAAAATGACTCTGTCTCATCCTGAATGCTGGAATTCAAACATGGTCAAAAGGAATCAGAACTATAGGAACTCAACTAATCTGCACAATTACGGATCATGAAACCAACTATTCGATTTCCAATGTCAATGCTCATGGTAAAGGCTGGACAGTTCAAATATCGCTCTTCATAAACAATTCATAGACTGATCTGTATGTCTATTTGCTTGAATTATATCTTTTCAGACTCGCCTCTTATTTCTAATGCATATACAATATTTCTTTTTGCTCTTTTTGTTAATTGAAGTAAGTCTGGTTAAATTGGTTCCTTTTAAAACATAAGTTCATTTGGGTCTGGGAGAAAGGTATTCACTAGGGAAGGGATCCTTTTAAGATTAACCTTGATATGACAAACTGATGGGGTGGATGAATAAAGAAGGGATACAATTCATGATTATTCACCCACGAGTTCAGAGCATAAGACATTAAGAAATAGAAACAGGAGTAGGCTGTGTAATGTCTTGAGCCTGCTCAGCGATTCAGTTGGATCATGCCTCCCATCCACTTTCCTGCCCTTTCCCTGTACCTTAAGAATCCTATATGTTTCATTGAAATTGCCTGTCATACTTCTAAACTCCTGTAAGTAGAGTTCCAACCTGTTTAGCCTTTGCTCAAAAGACAATCCCTCCAAAGCAGGGATCATCCTAGTGAACCTTCTCTGAACAGCCTCCAAAGAAATGATATCTTTCTTTAAATAAGGGGACCAAAACTGTTTCCAGTACTCCAGATGTGGTCTTATTATCACCTTGTACAGTTACAGGAATACGTCCCTACTCTTATACTCTGACCCCCTTAAAATAAGAGCCAACAAAGAGTGAATAAGAGCCTACCTGATTACCAGCTGAACCTGTATGCTAACTTTCTGTGTTTTGTGTACCAGTACCCCCAAGTCCTTTTGTGTTGCAGCTTTCTGCATTTTTCTCAATTTAAACGATTTAACTTCTCTTCTCCCTTCCAACTGTGCATCTTCCTTTATAATGCTCTGTTTGCTGTTTGCTCACTTTCTTCACCTACCAATATCTCTCTGTAAATTGTTTACATCCCTCTCAAAATCTGCCTTTCCACATATTTTTGTGTTGTCTGCAAAGTTGGCTACAGTACATTCACTTCCTCCCTTCAAGTAATTCATATACATTGTAACAGCTGTGGTCCCAGCACTGATCCCTGTGGAACCTCAATTGGTCTCCAACCTGAAAAAGAACCCCTTATCCCTGCTCACTGTTTCCTGCCCATAAGATAGTTCTCTATCCTTACCAACATAATACCTTCAGCATCATGGGCTCTTATCTTATGATTTAATGTTTTGTGACGTGCTTTGTTGAATGGCTGCTAGAAGTCCAAATACGACGCATCTACTTGCTACACTCTATCCACTCTGGTTGAAACTTTCTTGAAAAATTATAATAAATTAATCAGACACAATTTCTCTTTCACAACCCTGTGCTGACTCTATTTAATTAGGTGTGATTTTCTCAATGCTCTGCTAGTCTTCCTTAATAATTGATTCTAATCCTTTGCTAACAATCGATGTTCAGTTAATCGGCCCTTTGTTTCTTGGTTTTTGCCTTCCTCTCTTTTTGAATAGGGGTGTCACATTTACAGTTCTTCAATCCTCTGGTACTTCTCCAGAATCCAATGTTTCCTTCAGCATCCACGATCCCTGCAGTTACCTTTTTAAGGATCCTAGGATGCAAGCCATGAGGGCCAGGAGACTTATCTGCTTTTAGCTCAGTTAGTTTGTCTAAGTTTCCTCCTTTAGTGATGATGATAGTATTTAAATCCTCCCGCGTATTCTTTAATAATAATGGAGTTCAAAGTTTTAACATAAAGACTGATGCAAGATTTCTGTTTAACTCCTCTGCCATTTCCTTGCTCCTCAAAACCCTCTCCCCAGATTCATTTTCTACGGGGCTTATTTTCACTTCAACCTCTCTCTTCCTTTTTATTTACTTGAAGAAGCTCTTATTGTAAGTTTAACAATTTGGAGTATCCTTCTGGAACTGTACAAATTCAGGAACCTTGCCTGGGATCTGTGTGTGGTTTCCTTGGTGCACAGCACACTGAACCTTTCTTTGCTTGCATCAACCAGTTTACTTTTGAACATGATATTCTCTTCATGCAATAGCTTTTGTGTATATTTTAAAAACCAAAATTGAATTCAGGATGTCATTCCTAATTTCAAAGTTTCTATTGCAAACCTTGTCCATGATATTGTTAAAATCTGTCATTGGCTGAAAACTAAATCAGTATCTGTATTATAGTCAGGTATCAAATAGCTGTGCTATAAACAGTTAGAAACAGATCTGACGCTTTATCTTGTTACAGAGTTTCTCATTTCAACCATGCTCATCTGGACAAGTTCAAGTGGACAATTACAACCAACATTGGTAAGAAAAATCAAATAAACCCCCATTGTCCAGTGCCTTTTTTTTAGTGGCTTAGCACAGTTGTTTTATGTTTTGCTATGAGAGTGTCTGATTTGATAAATGTGAAGTTGTGATGAAAAGATGGAACTGAATGGAACCACTCTGTCATTTCTTCCTGATGACTTGAAGTTTGAAATGCTTTTAAACTACAACAGTCAAGAAGATGAACTGGTCAGAGGCTTTGTTCCCCTACACTGTGTTATTCTGTTGCCATTATTATGTCACCAAAATGCAGTTGTACAGTAAGTCTGCAAGGAAAGCTCAAGCTGAGTTCTTTCTTCATAATTAAATTCTATAAAGTAACTTGGCAGCGTGAATATTCAAACAATAGGAAAGCCTATTGTCAATACCCTCAAGAAATAGGTTGCATCCAATGAAAATTTGAAAGATGTTGTTTAATGTTCCCATTGCTCTCAGAGGGGAGTGCTGCATACAGGAAGCATATTGTAGGCACATAGCTTACGGTTTTCCAACCATTCATTTTCAATGGGTGGAAAATCATGGACAGTTGTCTGCAATTTCTCACATTGCTTTTCTCATGTTTTAAGGTCCATGCTGGACGTGCAGATGCAAAGAATCAACACTTTGATAAATATCTTACGTCTGGTAATTTGCCAGCTTTATATTTTGGTGAGGATCTGTGAAGAAAAAAATAACTGAGCATAAGCAGAGGAAGCTACATCATGATGATGTCAGAACAAGATGGAACTAGAAACTAAGTACAGTGCCAAATTATCTCTTACTATCTCTTGTATATAGTTAGGTTAAATAAAACTAGTTAACGGTTCCAGTTCTGTGTACTAACCTTAGTACAGGGTCTTTGGCCTACTGAATGTGTCTTTTAGCATTATTCACAATTTTCTTAACGATTAAAAGAGTGGCCAGATAAATCATGTTCCCAAATTCCTGATATATGGTCCCAGTGGGTGAGGATCCACACGTAGAAGATTGTCACTAAAATTTATACTATATAATCTAACTTTGCTTCATTGCTGTATTAGGTTGGAATTGAAAATAAAGCCTAACAGCTTTCCTCTAATTGTGTCTGCTTTCGGAAGTGCATAGTTAGTCTCTGCAGTTTTGTGACCTTCCAGGCCAGATGGTCCACATTCCAATTATAAGCTAGAATTCAATGGAATTCACAGACTTCCATCTGTACATAGACCTTTCCAATTGTGTGTGAAAATGGCACATATTGCTCACTCTGTATCTTGGGAATAAACTACAGTTTTAAATGTTGAAACGTTCTCATCTGTAACATAAATCTTCCCTTTTCAATCATTGACAAACCCGCTGTGCATTTATACTCTTTTGTATTTTTTAGAATGATTGCCATTGATTTATAATTGTTTTATTTTTAAGGGAAATAAAATAAAAAAAACAGGATATATTGCTTGCTGCACCACAGAACTCAGCAAAGTATCTGTACAGCAAATAGAATACTTGATGACTTCCAGGAAGGGCCTGTATTAAGCTTTTGACTTGGAGATTGTTCATCAGACTATGGGAACAAGTTAAAAGGAAAGTGGTCATATACAAAAACATATATTGTTGGAACTTTGAAACCGATCGTAAATATTTTCCTTCGACTTTTTACATTTCTCCAAAGGTTATTGGAGACAATAAAGAGGCTCTTGCAATGCCCAAACAATAGCAAAAGAAGGATAGAGGCAAAGAGCAATACTTGGTGTATCAATAATGGTTTGGAAAGCCACTATGAGTCAATTATGTAGCATGGGCCAGTTATGAATGGTACAAGTGACACAGTCCATTTCCGAAAAGGATGTTCATGAGCAAGTGTTCTGAGGAAGGGTCACTGGACCCAAAATGTTAACTCTGGTTTCTCTCCACAGATGCTGCCAGACCTGTGGAGCTTTTTCAGCAATTTCTGTTTTTGTGTCAGATCTTAGGGGTTTGGAAGGGAATTAGGAGGATGAAGGTCTACAAATATCATTTTCAATTTTACTAACGAATTTGAACTCACCAGATGTAACCTATTAGTACTGTATCAGAACCACTGAAGCATGTTGCATAAAGATCCTTCATCAAATAAATGTGGGTAGTTGATATACATTCCTCAAAGGTGGAAGTTATTGCACGAATACCTTGATAGATATTGATATTTTTGCAAGATGCCATTTGGAGGACATTATTAAAATATCACCCTGACACGGTCAGATAAAATGGAAAAAACACAAATGCTAGAACACTTTGAAGAAAGCAATGATGTTAGAAAGGCATATCATGTCATCCAGCATCTTTAGAGAGTAAGACAAGATCTAATGGGTCAGATTTCCCAAGCAACGTCAATTTCATGCAGATTGCCGCTCAGCTCTTCTTTTTCATGGAAGGTGTGAGCTCTGTGTTCCTGCTGAGGACTCCCTCAGAAATGCAGAGTTGTGCTTCCATTCTTATACTTCTTATGTCACGCAGAACTGTCAGAGGAACAGACACCTTTTCACAACAGTCAGCTACCGCTTTTGAAATTTAAGAGTGCTTAAAGACACTTTGATAAATGTTGTCAAACCTTTCCTATGTAGCTAAATGTAATGTAAGAGTGCTGGGCACATAGGGTGCCAGGGTACCAGGCTGGGGAGGCTATAGAATGCCAGGAGTATGATGCCAGATAAGTTAGGGGAAGAGTGCCAGGTTACTAGGGTGGCAGATGAGAAGCAGGTAGAATGTAAAGCTTGGGATGACAGATTGGTAAGGAGTAAGGTGCCAGCTGGGTAGGAGTAGGGTTCCCAATGTATAAGATGAGGGTAAGGAATCAGGTCAGGTTAGGGCCAGCTGACCTAACGGTTCTAAAATCTGACCTAATGGAGGGTGTAGGGACAGGATGTCTGGCTGGATTGGGTCTGATAGCAAGGGTGGTGTTGTGGGGGAATCGGCCCTGTCTGATGGCAAAGGGTTTGGTCAGTCTAGTCCAGTGAGGTGTTTGGATAGGGTCCTAGGTGAGGGGTGTGGTTTGAATTGGGGAGGGAGAAGGGGAGTTGGGACTTGGTGGGGTGTCAAGTCAGTGCTGGGAATTTGTAAGTGGTCTGAAGAAGTTATAGTTGGATACGTGTGAGGTAACTATTAGGCCTGTTGAATTGTTACTCCAGATTAGATCATCTATCTAATAGTTTAACTTTTCCTGAATAACTATTTTACTTAATTTCATTGAAAGGCTCCAGAGTCTCTGATTTAGATGGAGACATTCAGAGGATTCCAGGCATAGAAGAATTCCCAGCAAAAAAAAATCTTTTTCCCAGTCAAATCCTTCAGAATTAAGAATTCTGTGGGGTCTCTAGGCACAACTCCCTCTATGTTGGAGTAATGACTATCTGATCATTGGAAAATCCAGACCAGCATTTCAGTATCCAAAATACCAATAGATAAGATGGAGATATACACATGAAAAGATAAATGGATCTTTGAAAAATGCTGATGACCGCTATGTCCTGCAACTTTTTGATTTTCTTCTGTTGCAATTGAGATTCTGCTCCAAGACTGGAACTAACTTGAACCAATCTCCCTGGGGAGTTTTCTTAAATTTCTATGTACGAGATGAATGGAAGTAAGAGGATGAGCACCAAGAAAAATGTGAATGGAGCAAGACCCATCAGATGTGTGACAAACTTGACTTTGAAAAATAAAACAAAAACACTTGATGATACAATGGATTAACATATTGTTTTTTACGTTGTGCGTGTAGGATTGAATTCAGGTCAAACCATGTGGAAGAGTTTGATGGTTTTGACAGAAATAACATTAGTCACTTACTCTTGATACAAATTTGCAGCATGAACTTTCTGTAATTCGCCATATTAACATTACAAAGAGAGTATCTTTTAAAGAGACTATAGTGATGTCTGATATGGAAATGGAAAATCATAGACCAGTACAGTTCTAAAATTTTGAACAATAGCTATGCTCGATGCTCACACATTATAATCCATCTTAATACTGATAGTAACATCCTTGTCTTTATACGCATGAAGCAACCAAACAATGCAAAGAAAGAAAGAAAAAAATAAATCAGAAAGCTGAATACTGCAGATGTTATAACATACAATAAAGACACAATGTTGGAAATACCAAACAGATCAGGCATCATCTGTGGAGATAGAGAAACAGATATTCAATGAAAGGATAATGGCAGGTAAAGTAAGGACAATTCTAAGTTATTTTACAAGTACGTTAAGGAGAAAAGGATAATTAGGTTAAGAGTAGGATCAATTAAGGAGCACAGTTGTAATGTGTGCGTCGAGCCAGAGTTCTAAAGAAATACTTTGTGTCAGTGTTCATTAATAAGAGGGATGATGTGGATATAGAAATCAATGCGAAGGACTGTAATATAGTCAAAGAAATCAGTATAGACAGAGTAGAGTCTCTGAGTGATCTGGAAGGCATAAAATTAGATAAATCTCCAGGGCCTGATGAAAGGGCCCACAGAAAGTGACTGGCCCAAATGGAGTCCCTGGCCATGCACTCAGACCCTCTCCAGGCCAGCTGGTGGGAGTATTCACTGGCATCTTTAACCTCTCTTTACTCAGATCTGAAGTCCCCACCTGCTTCAAGAAGACCACCATCATCCCGCTACCAAAAAAACTGATGCAACATACCTCAATGACTACTGCCCAGTGGCTCTGACCTCCATAATTATGAAGAGTTTTGAAAGGATAGTCATGACTCCAATCAACTCTAGCCTCCCAGCCTGCTTGTTTGAACAGGTCCACAGCAGATGCCATCTCTCTGGCCCTACGCTTATCCCTGGAATACCTGGATAACAAGGATAGCTATATCAGGCTCCTACATATTGACTACAGCTCCGTCTTCAACAATATAATTCCAATCAAACCCATCTCCAAACTCCAAGACCCAGGTCTCTGCTCTGCCCTCTGCAACTGGATGCTCAACTTCCTGACCCACAGACCACAATCATTGAGAATAGGCAACAACACCTCCTCCACGATAAA